TCTGCAAGCAAAAAAATGAAATGTCTTGATAATAGTACTACTCAATACATTATTGAAAGTTTGATTATTAAAAACGTACTACAAAGCTTTAAACATCAATCTACATCCGATAAGTACTCAAGTTTCGATTGACGCCAAAATATAAGTCACCAAACACTACGATTTTTTTCAACAGCTCCCACGACGATATAGTACGTGTATGCTCATCGGTGTCTTTTAATTATGCTAACTAACGTGCACACAGGCAGCGCCCTTAGCGTGCGTGGCCTTGCAAACCACAGCTGAAAATGAGAGCAAAATGAAATTTTAACGGTGGTTATAAGTACGATGTGTAGTCCACATACAGTGCGTACAAAACACAAAGCCAATTTTTTCCAATGGGGGCCGCCATCGCTGCGCCCGACAGCTTTTTAGCAAATCGAGGCCGCCTTCGCTTCGCTCGGCAGCCAGTAGAACGCGCGTATTTGCGTTACATTAATTAACCCTAGCCGCGGACGGACTGACGGACAGCACACTCCACTAGATGGGGTAGACTAGCTGTTCGCCGCCGCTACGTGGCGGAGTGGCATGGTTTGTTGGAGATGAGGTGGCCGCAAATTTAAGTGCTTCTTGGTGTCGCGTACTTTGTTAGCGTCGTTCGGCCGAGTAGGTCTTGGCTTCGTGTACTTAACCACTTACCATTCCGTAGTATCATGTGGACCCGTATAATGTCGCTGTTTGGTACGCTTCCGTTACCCCGTACTACAGGTTGGATGTCATGTTCTATAGTGGCCGGCGCTCTTCCGTGATCTTCCTGGCTTTGTGGTTCCCTGCTCACCCGTGGCCCACGCTGCTTAGTGGTTATACGACCTCTCTTTTAAGATCATGCTCTTTAATACGGCCTCTTTCGTGGCCGTTGGTCTCCCAACGCTGGTACTCGGGCCGAAGAGTGGTATTCCGTTGTTTGGCGTATTCACGCAGTCGTATTGCTCCATCGCCCGTGTATCGTGCTCTCCTGGTGAGGTTCCATCGACCGCGGTATCACGCTATCGTGCAATCGCGGTGTGGTAATGCTGTCTATGGTATTGTGCTCGCGTAGTGCACCTGCGTTGCCCGTGCTATCGTGTTTTGCAATGGCATCGTACTCCAGAATGTGCAATCGTGGTACCCCTAAGCGCCCCCTCGTTTTTTTAGTGACTGGTCCACCGTCCGTTCAATTATGTTCTAATGTACTACTGTCCTCCGTGGCTCGGAAAGCTCATGTTCTACACTGGTATCGCTCTCCGCGACTCGGTGATTTCTCGTCTGTAGCTCCGCGGCTGTGCTCCCCCATGGCTTAGTGGCACGGTCCATGCTATCGTGCTAACTTGTGGTGTCGTGGTTGATCTGTCGTCCGTGAGATCGTTAGATACCGTAGTATCGTGCTGTCGGATTCGGTGAGCTCCGGTTCTACCCTTATATCGTGCTCTAATGCTCGGGTGATCTTCCGTTTATGGTATACCGCGGCGTCAGGTTTGGTCGGTCGACTGTGCTCCGTGTTCTACCGTGGTGCTATGGGAAAATTTCTGTCCGTGCACTCTTACCGTTACGTGTTCTACCGTGGCTTCGAGCGTGCCTGCTCTTTCGTAGCCCGTGGTTTTCAATATGCTGGGGTGTCTATGTATTAGTTCCCTTCTGTGGCCCGTACGCTCTCGTCATATTCTTGTCCTTCTGTCATTTTCATGGCTGCGTGCACTTCCATCTTTCACGCTACGTAAAAAACGCCGTGGTTTGCATCGGCTAAGTCTTCTATCACCGTCCATGACCTTCCGTGCTTCGTGTTACTCTTGTATCCCATCATCTACTTAGTGTGGGTCGATATTCCTTTATGTTTCGTGTTTTTGCTTTGCCACGTGCCTCCGCGCTAACTTAATCACAAACGCTGTTCCTACACATATTGCTGGAAAGCTCACAGAATATCTTAAGGTTGCACACTACGCGCGCAAATACAAAGGAAAATGATACTTTCTCCCGGAGGCAGTGTGGGGTGCTGGGGTGTGTGGGGTGGGAAGTCATAATAGTCATATTTTAAAGTTTTCACATTATTAATAGTAGTAGTAACATTGTGATTTATTACTGAGCGCTGGTATAATATTTATGTGTACTATAACTACTAATATCTGCAAGCAAAAAAATGAAATGTCTTGATAATAGTACTACTCAATACATTATTGAAAGTTTAATTATTAAAAACGTACTACAAAGCTTTAAACATCAATCTACATCCGATAAGTACTCAAGTTTCGATTGACACCAAAATATAAGTCACCAAACCCTACGATTTTTTTCAACAGCTCCCACGACGATATAGTACGTGTATGCTCATCGGTGTCTTTTAATTATGCTAACTAACGTGCACACAGGCAGCGCCCTTAGCGTGCGTGGCCTTGCAAACCACAGCTGAAAATGAGAGCAAAATGAAATTTTAACGGTGGTTATAAGTACGATGTGTAGTCCACATACAGTGCGTACAAAACACAAAGCCAATTTTTTCCAATGGGGGCCGCCATCGCTGCGCCCGACAGCTTTTTAGCAAATCGAGGCCGCCTTCGCTCGGCAGCCAGTAGAACGCGCGTATTTGCGTTACATTAATTAACCCTAGCCGCGGACGGAATGACAGACGGACGAACGGACGCAGACCAGCCTCCACTAGGGGGTAAGACTAGCCGTTCGCCGCCGCTACGCGGCGGAGTGGCATGGTTTGTTGGAAATGCGGCGGGTGCAAATTTAAGTGCTTCTTGGTGTCATGTACTTTGTTAGCGTCGTTCACCCCAGTAGGTCTTGGCTTCATGTACTTAACCACCTACCATTCCGTAGTCTCATGTGGACCCCTATAATATCGTGGTTTGGTACGCTTCCGCTACCCCAAACTACAGGTTGGATGTCGTGTTCTTCAACGGCCGGTGCTCTTCCGTGCTTTTGCTGGCTTCGTGGCTCCCTGCTCACTCGTGGCACACGCTGCCTAGTGGTTAAGCGCTCTCTCTTTGGGTTAATTCGCTTAAGTACGATCTCTTTTGTGGCTGCTTACTACTCCCTAGGGTTTAGGGTTTACGTAGGCTGCACCGGTTTTGTGGTACAGTGGCCGTTGGCCTTCCGTCGCCAGCTGAAGTGTGCTAATTCTTGGTTTGGTGTCTCCATGCAGTCGTGTTGTTCTAGCAATCGTGTATCGGGCTCGTCTGGTGAGGCTCGATCGACCGCGTTTTAACGCCATCACGTAATTGCGGTATGGTTTTGCTGTCTATGGTACTGTGCTCGCGTATTGCATTTGCGTTGCCGGTGTTATCGTGTTCTACAACGGCATCGTCCTCCACAATTGTGGTCACCCCAAGCCCCCCCCCCCTCCATTTCGTGGCTGGTCCGCCGTCCGTGCAATCGAATTCTAATGCGCTATTGCCCTCCGTGGCACGGTAAGCTCAGGTTCTACACTGATATAGTGCCCCATGGCTCGATGATTTCGCGTCTACAGCTCCAGTGTCCGCATTTCTATCATGGTTTAGTGTCTTGTCCACCGTCCAAGCCATCGTGTTATTTTGTGGTGTCGGCGCAGGTCTGCCGTCCGTTCTATTGTGAGCTACCGTTGTTTCGTGCTCCCTGGCTCGGTTAGATCCGGCTCTACCCTGGTATCGTGTTTCAATACTCGACAACCTCCCGTAAATGGTCTTCCGCGGCTTCATGTTTGGTCGGTCGAACCGTGTGCTCCGTGTTCAACCGTGGTGCTATGGGAGAATGTCTGTCCGCGCACTCTTACCGTCTACCGTGGCTTCGAGCGTGCGTGCTCTTTCGTAGCCCGTGCATTTCGGCATGCTGGGGTGTCTACGTATTAAGTTCCCTTCTGTGGCCCGTACGCTCCCGGAATATTCTTGTCCTTCTGTCCTTTTCATGACTGCGTTCACTTCCATCTTTCACGCTACGTAAAACACTTCGTGGTTTGCATCGGCTAAGTCTTCTATGATCGTCCATGGCCTTCCGTGCTTCGTGTTGCTCTTTTATCCCATCGTCTACATAGGGTGAGTCGGTGCTCCTTCGCTTTTTGTGTTCTTGCTTAGCCTCCGCGCTAACTTAATCACAAACGCTGTTTCCATTTTGTTTGATGTACGCTACATATATTGTTGGAAAGCTCGCACAATATCTTAAGGTCGCACACTACGTGCGCAAATACAAAGGAAGGTGACACTTTTTCCCGGAGGCAGTGTGGGATGCAGGGGTGTAAACCACAATAGTCATATTTAAAGTTTTCACATTATTATTTACAGTAATACAATTGTTATTTATTATAAAACGCTGATATAATAATTATGTGTACTACTACTACAAATAGCTGCAAGAAAACATATGAAATGTCTTGATAATAGTACTACTCAAAACAGTATTGTAAGATTATTTATTAGAGAAGTACTATGAAGCCTAAAATATCATTC